ATCACCAGCTGATCGACCCCGACGAAAACCGTATTGGCGGTCACTAATCAGCTGGTGATCCTCAAGGTACCGGATGAGCTGGCAGTTAATAATGGATTCCATTATTTTGGAGAACAAGGAGGTGATCGCGATAGGCCTATAGTTGGACGGGTCTGAGCGGTCGCCTTTTTTAGGGATCGGGTGGACAAAAGCTGTCTTCCATGAATTCGGGACTACGCCTTGGGAGTAGGAGTACCGGAAAAGACGCGTTAGGACCGGTGCCAACTCCGGAGCACACGTCCTCAGCACAATTGGGGGGATTCCGTCAGGCCCACTCGACTTCTGGATGTCCAGGGAAAGAAGTGCTTTGCGAACTGAGCGCTGTGAGAATAGCACATCCGGCATGGAGCACTCACACCGCGGGATGGTCGGCGGTATTTTCCCCCCGTCATCAAGAGTCGAGTTGGACGCAAAAAGGGAGCCTAAAAGGTCGGCTTTGTCTTTTGCGTCTTGGGCCAGTGAGTCGTCCTCCCTGTGCAGAGATGGTAGTGATGGCTTACAGAAATTCCCTTGGACAGCCTTGGCGAGAGACCAGAATGCACGGGTTCCCGAAGGAAGGCGAACTAGTTTCTCGCCAATTCTGCCTATGTGCTCTGACTTTGCCTTGGCAATAACTCTTTTGAAGGACCTGGAGGCGAAGTTATACTTCTTTTTAAGTGTGCTGGTGTTTACATCCCGAGTCACCGAAGCCGCAGCCCAGGCTTGATAACACTCCTGCTTACTGCGCAATGCAGTCTTACAGGAGCGACCAAACCAAGGCTGAGATCTGCCTCCGATGGGTACCACAGATGATGGAATAAATAGTTCCATTCCCTGTAGCACCACATCAGTGACAGAGTCAGCAACAGCACTGGGATCATCCGGCGAGAAGCAAACCCGCCCCCATGGGTAGGATGCAAAGAAAGACCGCATTTCGTCCCAATCCTCCGACCTGTAATGCCAAACACGGCGGCAACCTGCAGAACGCAACCGCGAAGGGAGCGTGAGTGGCACCATACTCCGGATCAGACAATGGTCCGAAGAGCCGAGAGGGGCATCGACGGAAACCTGATATCCGTCCGGATGAGAGGTCAGCAGAAGGTCCAACAGGGAAGGTGTATGATCCTCCACATCTGGAATCCGCGTAGGCGAAGTAACCAGTTGTGTCAGACCATATGCCAAGCCAAAGTCATAAACAGATCTCCCCGCATGATCGGTTAAACGTGAACCGAGCCATTCGGCATGGTGGGCGTTAAAATCGCCAAGGATCACGATCTCTGCGGATGGGACCTGTTGTAGCAAGGAATCTGTAGCCATTTGGACGTGGTCGATGAGTCGGTCTGTTTCGGCATTACCGCTATGGGACCTATAGAGGCACCCGTAGACGCGCGGATGGTCGTCGCTGTCTACGCGTAGCCAAAGGATGGACAGGTCCGAACCTTCAAGACTGCCGAGGCGTCGAGAACAGATGTCCTCTCTAACATACACGCAAACTCCAGCCCGAGGCACAAAGGAGTGCTCCAATTTGTACCCCGGGTAGGAGAGATACGAAATATCAGTCGGAGAGGAAACCTGCGTCTCGGTCAAAAAGAGCAAGGCCGGCTTCGCCGTCTCGAGATGGTAGTGGACGGCGTTTAGGTTAGAGTGAAGTCCCCTGATGTTGCAGAAATTCACGGATAGCGTGGCAGGGGTCGCCTTGGTATTGTTGCTCAGCTTGCCCCGAGCAGTTTTGTTTTTGAGCGGAATTTTGCCCCCCCCAGAATACGCGGGGCAGCCTGAGCACCCACGCTCAGGATTGGAATAACATGGTCGTGGATGCTCAGCGAGGGATTCTCCAGGGGTACTGGTACCCTCCTGGGGTAGTCTATTGTCTAATTCCGCTACCATGTTGATGGGGGGGGGGGGGGGGAATTGGGCCTCCGGCCACCTGCACTCACCAGACGAAACGCAGAAGCAGAGCCTCTACTTCACGCCGGTATTCTGTGAGGTCGTGGTACCAACCCGGCTCGAGCCGGCCCATACGTGCAACAGCAAAAAACTGCTGCAGGGCTCTACCACCGTTAAAAATTTATAATTTATTATCGATTGAACACTTGTACATACTTGCTACATTATATAATTCTATATTTATTTAAACGAGCGTAAATTATTAATTGCCAGCTAATAACGACATTCTATAATACTTGAGCAACATTTTATATTATATACATATATCGAAAAATTTACTGAAATTGCTGATAATGTTGATCAATAAGAATCCATCAAAGGCACTCCAAAGGAATCCATTATATTCATAATAATACGTATTAAAAAGTTTGGAGAGCGATAAATATTGAATGCGATTGTTAAATTAAATAAATCAAAAGTTGCTTTCTATAATGGCAGAGCACTCCCAAAATCTCACGGTCGTATCAAGCCTAAAGGGTTATCGCTTGTATCTTATAACATTCGCGATTTGCGAAATAACCTCCCAGAACTTAAGCTCTTTCTTCGAGATTGCGAAGCCGATTTCCTCCTTTTACAGGAAACCAATCTCAAAAAAAAATTTCTCTTCTTCGTAATGACAGGCCCTACCGCCAGGGCGGCGGTACGGCCATTTATTACAATAAGACACTTCATTGCTCTCACATTAATACTCCGCAGCTTACCAATATAGAAGCCACGGTATGCAGGTTAGCTATGACGGGACATCAGTCTTTAGTCATAGCCTCCTGTTACATCCCCAACCCCTCAAAAAAGATTTTGAGGTTATCTTATCTCTAGGCAATTCAGTCATTATGTTTGGAGATTTTAACTCCAAGCATACTGAATGGACATGCCGTTCTACCTCCCATAGTGGCAAGGAACTGCTTGAAATAACGCAGTCTCTTGACCTTACCGTCCTCAGTCCCCTCGGTGTTACGCACTATCCCGATATCACCGACCACGCCCCCGATGTACCAGATTTTGCGTTACTCAAAGGAGTTTCTCTTAATCTCAGGGCAATCGAGACGCTAGACGATCTAGGATCCGACCACCGACCGGTCTCCCTCATTCTTGGCCATTAACCACCTCCCTCAACACCCTCCACGAAAACCTTCACTAATTGGAAGGGCTTCAAGGAGTCCCTAGCTAAAGCTCTGGACTCTCAGGACTCCCCTATCTCCCTATCGTCGGGCTTAGACAGTCCCGAAAAAATCGACACCGCGGTCGATTCACTCTCAACCCTTATTAAATCCTCCCTTAAGGAGAATGAAAGGGTCGTCCCGGTTGCTAATAATAGTGGGCTTCCTCTACATATTAGCAACCTATTAAAAGCCAAGAAAGCTGCTTTCCGGAGAGCAGCAAAATATCCCACACCCGAATATAGGCGTACGGCCAATCGTTTTCAACGAGAAGTCCGTTTCTGCCTCTTCGAACTTCGAGACCTCGAAAGGAATAAGCTCACGGAGAATATCTCTCCCTCTCATACAGCGTACTATCGGATGGCTAGAGTCCTCCGTATAGAGGCTATCACTCACACTCCCCCTCTCTCCCGCCCCGACGGTACGGTTGCCTTCGAGGACGAGGAAAAGGCTGAGTGCTTTGCAGACAGCATTGCCGCTCAATGCTATCCTAGCTCTCAACCCGTCGACCCCTCACACATTCAGGCAGTGTAGGATAAGGTCCGTCGCCGGAACTCACCCCCTACAACCTCTGACCCTATCACTGCTATCTGCTAGGATCTTAATCCTAATTCAATTCCCAGATTCGTGCATCGTTGTTCTTCATCACTAATAAATATAATTTTTTTTATAAATATTTATTTCATTTCGAATTACACATGTTGACATACAGGAATCAGAATGATTACAATTAATAAAGTAACAATAAGTCTAACAAAAATAACATGCTATGATAAAATTAAAACTATGTGTAGCTAAATAATGTAGAATCTACAAAAGAAGATAGAAAATTCATATTTATAATATTAGCTACCTGCCTGAACTAGGTTGAGTACCTGTGTTTCAGACATCACTTATACAATCGGTTTAATAATGTAGGACACTAGATATTTAAATAATTAAACTAAATTGTATAATAAATAAAATAACTAAATAACAATTATTTATTGCCTACAATTAATACAAACTATTTTAGTATATCTAACAACTTCTCTGTGTCGTAATTTAATTTATTTAGAAATTCCCTTACACTTATATTACAGTCCTTATAACTTAGACTATATACCTTTAGTGACTTGTTGAGCTTGTTATATAGAAAGGGTCCTAAAAATATGTAAAATTTGTTCACAAATGCGTGTTTGGTTTGAGGGTTTACACAAACTAAGTCCATTCTTCTCCTGTCTATGGATTGCTAATGCGCGACTACTGACCATGTTTCTGACCAGTTTTCTCTCAAGAAATTTTTAATAGCAGCCCAATGTCAGGAAATTGGCAGTGTTTCACTCCGTGGCTCAGAAAACAGGTAAAGACGGTGATCTTGCTCCTGATCTCACTCCGGTAGTATCGGATTGCCGTCGCATTGGACTATGAAAGTGAGGGAATTGAGAATGTACCTGTGTTTACGTACATACTTGTGCCCTATCCTATAACACCATCCTGAGCAAATAACTAGTCTTCGTTCGATAAAAAATTCGATCTGGAGGACATTGTACTTAAAAACGTTTTGTTTACTTTTACAATTCATTTTATTGTATATGAAGTACATGTAAAACTATTTGTTCGAAAAGTTAGCATTGTAACATCGCGAACGGACGGAGAAACGGATTATAATCATTCATCATATCTACCTAGAAGTTGAATTTTGTGTAAAAATACACACAGAGTTGAAAAAAATTGTTCATAATAAAACATTTTATTAAAATAATATTAGGATAAAACGAGGATTAAACAGCACGCCTTAACTAGCAACGCAGACTGGCATCACAGATAGATCATATCAAAAATTTCTTTAACTTAAACACATTAATTTAACACAATTTAAGCGCCTTCTAATGTTGTTTAGCGTCCATATCCCCAACCGCCACCGATGATTCCGCCTCCGATAACTCCACCGCCTATAAAGCCCCCACCGGGTCTCCAGCCGCCTCCATGGCCCCAGCCACCTCCGTGACCCCAGCCGTAGCCATTTCCTCCCCAACCATAGCCTCCCCAGCCTCGACCTGCCCAACCGTGTCCTCCCCAACCCTGGCCACCCCAACCATATCGTGATTCTTGTGGCTCCAGTATGTCAGTAGCGAGTTGCAACTGCGGTTCCTCATTTAAGGGTGTTGGAAGTGCCAGGGCGTAGGCCAGGCAACATATCACTAGCGTTATATACGATATCTGTGAATAAAAGTATATTGTCACTGCATTAACCAAATTTACAAAATTTTAATCGAAAATTGAAAAAAAAAATATGTTTTTACTAACAACCGTTTAACTATCGTAATATTATTTGTATTTATCGCAATTTTGTAAAACGTTGAAATGAATACGTTAAAAATGGAGGTGTGACACTTACGAGTACTGTGTTCATTTTTGCAGATCTTGTTGAACAATGATGGTTGTGATTCAAGTCGGACTCTATTTATTAGGAAGTTGAAACTCGCTAAGCAAATAATAGAAAACGTGATTTGGCTGATTATTGATATAAGACTAGTCATCTTCCCAGCGGCGAGATACTAACTATAGATAAACTATAGAAAACTAAGATAACTAGTGCGCTAAAAATAATTGATTAAGCTTTTTGATATAATTTATTCTACAAATAATGATTTCTTATATTTACCCAAAAACTACACATGTGCTACACAAATGAAATACAAAAATTTTTCCCGTTCGTTCCGGGAAGCCTGCATAACCGGGCTAACTATGACATCGGGACGTCAAACACCTCAGTCCCCTCCGTGACCATGGGTGCTGTACCCGAAACGTCGGGAATTACAAAAGTTAAATTAAACGCGATAAAATCCGTAAAAATTAATTTCATTTATTCTACAAATGTTTTCTAATCGGAAGTTAATAGCCTAACTAGAGTTGAAATAGCTAGATAAGGTTATGTGGAGTCTTGCTTTGGGGTAATGTGAGTGTAATTTGAACTATCTATGTTTTACAGAAGGGAGCCATAAGAACTATTAATAATGTAAATCCGACATAGTCTCTTTTACAAAAATTTTAAGAAATAAATATATTAACATGGGTCTCTCAGTATATTTACGAAATTTAATATATATACACAAAAATAAAAATAATTTTATCAAGAATAGTGATATGTATATTCTGTGAACATCACAAGCTATTAATACCAGTTACTCGACTCCAATGAGTCAGTAATTCCTTTATAGGATAATGTATACGCTTTTACTATATAGTCCCGGAAAATATGCAGGGCCTATATATATACCTATTAAAAAGTTTAAAATTCTTATCAAGCAAAAGCTGTATAAATGGGTCATTATAATATTAAATAACATCGATCAAAACTTAAACAACTGATAATAACCCCTACATTGCTCGTTCTAATGTTCCATTCAATCGTATTCAATGATGAACTATTTTAAAATATAATTAAAAAAAGTTCAGATGGGTTTTAAAAAAGTAAACCACGGAAGAGGTTGTTTCCAAACTAGTGGTAAATAAATAATTTTTCAATCTATGTCGAATAAAAATATATATTCGATTATATGTAAATATTATAGACTTTTCTGGTTAATATATAAGTAATAATATATTTTAGAATGTTCTGTTTAAATAGGCAAGGTTTTTTAACCAATCCTTGTAAGAGTTGTTCCCACATTTTAGTTTGAATGTATCTACTGGTGCAAAATATTTAGTTAAAAAAGCATCTAAAGATGGAGAAGAACAGTTCTCGAGCTTAGCGAAGTTTAGAGCAGTTTCCCACGAGAAGTGACGACCTGGTAAGACGTGCAGAAAGTTGAATCAGGCAGGTTCAGGAGCGTGTTTTGTGGCATACCTTGGATGAGGCCTATGTTTAGCATAGTTATATGTACTACGTACGTATGCAGTGTCGCCTCTAGTACGTAGTACACAACAGCTCAATGATGTTTAGCTGTAAATTTGTGGAGGGTTGTCATGGTAATTATGATGATGAATAGCTCAAAAGTAATGAAATTTAATAAAAGCTTGTTAAAATTACAGTATAAGTAACAAGTAACATATTAATATAAAATACAGTCATAAATCGCACGCATAGTGGATGTCATAATGCTTATGGCTTTTTGTGTGCAAAAGATTTGTTTACTAAATGTAATAGTTTTGCTTTTAAGTTACATATTATATACATGTTTAAATTTATCATCATGTCAATCTTGAAAATAAATTTTCTTTTCCTTTATTATCACCTCGTTACAATAAACTGCAGGACTTGAACTCATTTGGCGGTCGCTAAGAAATCTTTTTGGTATTTCCAACAAAGTTATTTCCCATATTTGTGACTGGAAATACCTACGACTCTACGAATTGGGTTGATTACTTACGCCGTCACTACAAGGCCAAGGTATTTAGGATATTAATTTAAGAAATTACATAACTTCGTATTTACGTCTAACCTAAGATTGATTAATTGATTCCATAACTCAACATTGCTCAAAATTTATTATATTAGTTCATAATAAATTTCAGGCATTTGTTTGCATGTTTTGCGGATGTTCATGGTCAGTCGTGGTTATTTACCTTCAAGTTGATAGCAAGCTTGTTTGTCATCGTATTATGTTATCTATTTATTTACTAAGTTTAAGTCTTAGATTATTTACTCTCAAATAATCTAAGGTTTAAGTATAGTTGCGATTATATGCTCGCCGGAGCAACATCACGAAAGAGAACTATTGTGGGCATTGATCAATTCTGATGAGACAAGTAACAGATACATTGTTCTAACAGACCAGAATTTTCAGAATATGTCAAGGAAACCTCTAACTTATAACTAAAAGCGTAAGATTTGTTTCACTGCCACTCCTAGGATGGCGGATATTTGCTGATATTATTCACCTACAAACTGTCTTTACAATTTGGTGAAGTTATAATATTATGTAATGTTTTTGTAAATGTTAATATATAAATTAAAAATAATATATCTCTAAAGATAAAAGTAAAAAGTAAAATTCTATTATCCATTACTGCTGCTCTCATAGATATCATAGATGCAGCAAAGATGGCTTTAGAACTGCATATTGGTGTATTTCATAGGCCTTCAATTTATTTAAATTCGCAAATATGGACATTTCTTCACTATGTTTTCTTCTATCGCCGAGCACGTGGTAAATCAACACCTTAATAAATTACTGCACATTTGTTTCGTATAAGATATTAGTTCAGTAATAAGATCTCCTTTTTTTATAGGAATAAGGTGCCAAATGAACGCACAGTTCACATGAAGGTGAGTGGATTCTGTGGCCCTACATAGATATCTAGTACAGACATCTATCGGGATAAACCCAATTAACGTTGTCACCCCTGAGGTCTAAGGTGGTCTCCGGTTCTTTATACTGACCATTCGAAACGCTACTACTCTGTGAGATCGTGGCCCTTTCCCGGTCGGGCCGACTCATTCGTGTTACAGCCATAATATAACCGCAGCGTGGCTCTAGCGCGTACAAAATATACGAAGTAAATTTAATATGTTAATGCTGTATCATAACGAGTAAACCTCGAAGTTGTGTCTCGCTGGTCTAGCTAGATAACGCAGAGTCAGGAATTTGCATTTAGAAAAAGCCAAAATTAGGGGCTTTATAGGTGCTAAGTTTTGTGTCAAGCTTAAAAATTCGGTGCTCTAAAATTTTCACCGCAACGAACTGTTGAAATTTACGTTACTAGCAAAACGTATTGCTAGCGACGCAGTGACGATAATAGATGTACGATAAATATTAATAGCAAGGAATTAAGTGTTAATTAATTGCTGCAAATATAGGTAATGACAAGGCGCCCCTAATAAAAATAAAGTCGTTATTCAGAACAAAGCAGATGCAAAAATCAGGTCTTCTGGAAATCTTCCGTAAAACTATAGTAAAAATATAGTACTTGCGTATGGGTAAGGTGTGGGTGGGCGGTGGGGTACGGTTCTGGGAAAGCCTAATTAGGCCCCTATTCTTCCCCCTTTCGTAAATGTATAGTTTATGAGAAATATTTTTTTTTGTAAAATCGTAACATCACTTTTTTACACAGGAATATTGACACAGTTACTTCTGCAACGACTTCGGAGCTACATGAAATGCAGCCCATTCGCCCGTGGCTAACAAATCGCAGGCATCTGTGCGAGCCGCAGCGGCTGTGGTGATTTGCTATAGCGAGCGGGGGCTGCTCTCCTTCCGCGCCTACGGTTTTACATAAAATTCTAGGGGTACGGCAGACAAGACTGCGTGGAGTCGGGGCGTTCTGATTCGATTTTATTACAGATTCGACCTATATTATCTATAATATATAACTGATAAAGAACAAAAATACCGTTCATACCTTATAGTAAGGTAATCGAGGTCCTGGATCCGATAATTCCCACTACATCGGAACTCAATAACCTTTCAGCACTTAATTCCTTGCTATTAATATTTATCGTATATCAATAATTTCACTGCGTTGCTAGCGATACGTTTTGCAACGCTAATTTCAACAATTCGTTACGGTGAAAATTTTAGAGCACCTAATTTTTAAACTTAACCTAAAAGCCCCTAATTTAGACTTTTTATAAAAAAAATATATTAACAGTGGTAGAGCCTCGCGGCAGCTTTTGCTGTCGCACGGATGGGCCGGCTCGAACCGGGGTGGTACCATGACCTCACAGAATACCAGCGTGAAGTAGAGGTTTACCTCTGTGTTTCGCTTGGTAAGTGCAGGTGGCCGGAGGCCCTTTTTACTGGAAATGAGGCACTCCATCTTAGTCCTCACGGGTGACAACGCATCTGCATTTTGATTCGCAAGCGAGGATAGATGTAGATGTCTACGGGCCGCAGCAACCACTTACCATCAGGTGGACTGTGTGCTCGTTTGTCACCCTTATCCTATAAAAATAATGCAAATTCCTGACTTTGCGTTGTTGTGGTAATGTATAACGGGATTTCAGGTATCATTCAATTTTCTCTCCTTCCATTATAAATCACTGTTACTATTTTGTGTTTTTGAGAGCACTTAATTATAGCACTTAATTATCAAATTAATTCTATACTTCATTTTGGTTTTATTCTAATTTTTAGAATACCTGATTTTTGCATCTGCTTTGTTCTGAATATCGACTATATTTTGATTAGGGGCGCCTTGTCTTTGCCTATACTTGCAGCACTTAACGTATATCTATTATCGTCACTACGTTGCTAGCGATAAGTTTTGCCAGCAACGCAAATTTCTACAGTTTTTTGCGGTGAAATCTTTAGAAAAATTAATATTTAAATTTGGCACCTAATTAGCACCTAAAAAGCCCTCATTTTGGCTTTTTCTAAATGCAAATTCCTGACTTTGTGTTGCTGGCGAGGTGGCGAGACATAGCTAAACCTCAACCCATTAGAATAGAATAGAATAGAATAGAATGAT